CAAGTCAGCCTCTCAGCCATTGACCTTGTCTTTTGGGGAGACACCAGTGTGCCTCCAGTCCTCTCTGGGATGACGTTTCTCATGACCTCACCGCAGCCAGGGGAAGATGGGGATCTCAGCCACCCCTCCCTGCTCCAGCAGGTAAACTCTTCGGGTTCCTGGCTGAGCGAGTAGCAACAGGACAAGTTTCAGCTGCCTCGGTGTTGGTTTGCCAGTGATTAATAACAGGAATAATCTTAAATTTCAAGTTCAGGTAGGATTCCTCCCAAATCCTCCTGGTTATGGAAAGCTGTGCTTTAAGAACGTTATTTTCTTTTGTAATATTTGTATTTATTTATTTGAAAGGCAGAGTGACAAAGAAGGAGAAAGAGAGAGAGAGAGAGAGAGAGAGAGAGAGAGAGAGAGAGAGAACCTTCCATCGCCTGGTTCACTCCCTAAATAGCTACAACAGCCAGGTCCAGATCAGACCAAAACCAGGAGCTTAGAATTCCATCCAGGTCTCCCACATGGGTGGCAGGGGCCCAAGAACTTGGGTCATCCTCTGCTGCCTTCCCAGGCACCTTAGCAAGGAGCTGGAGTGGCCAGGCCAGAGCTCCTTTGGGGCGCCGGCATTGCAGGCAGCAGCTTAACCATTTTCTAACACGCTTGATTGGTGGACTGAAGCTGTTGAACTGGATTGCAAAGGGCTCCACAGGTTCTACGACAGCACCGCCCTTGGCTATGAGCGTCTAGGGGCACACGATGGATAGAGACGGCTGGCAGCAGCAGGAGAGGAGGGAAGCAGCTCCCTTAACTGAGCACCTATTTAGTGTCTCCTTCCCACACGGCTGGTGGCAAGCCGGCTGCCTGTTTAATGAGGGGATTCCGCACGGGACAGGGTGTGCTGAGTGTCACCTCCCACCATGACAAGGAGGACTCAGAGGCGTCCCCCCCCACCTCATCCTGGGAGGGGGAGCTTGGCAGGAGTGAAGGGCACAGATTATTCCAGAGACAGAAGGAGCAGCTAACAACTATGCCTTCTGTCTTTCCCTTTAAAAAAAAAATGGTAAAAGAGAAATGTTTTACACATTCTTGATGCAATAGCAGGGGAGAACTGGGAGCAGAAAGATTTTGATGATCCTGTAACTCAAGAGCCACTGCAGGTGTCAACGGTCGCATCACCCTAATGGAGAAAAGAATGTTTTGCTGTCAAAAGCATTTTCAATTGTTCTTAAAAGATTTATTTATTTATTTATTTGAAGGTCTGGGTTACACACAGAGAGAAGGAGAGGTAGACAGAGAGAGAGGTCTTCCATCTGCTGGTTCACTCCCCAATTGGCGGCACCGGCCGCAGTCGCCCTGATCCAAAGCCAGAAGCCAGGAGCTTCTTCCGGTCTCCCACGTGGGTGCAGGGGCCCAAGGACTTGTGCCATCTTCCAACTGCCTTCCCAGGCCTTAGCAGAGAGCTGGATTTGAAGTGGAGCAGCCGGGACTCAAACCGGCACCCATATGGGATGCCGGCACTGCTGGCGGTGGCTTTACCCGCTCTGACACAGTGCCCACTCCCATTTTCAATTATTTTTACAGAATACTGCGTTTTATAGTGCTGTGACACAAATCTAACCTGAGAGTCAATCCTTTGGAAGTAATCTAATTTAAAAGCTTGAATTTGGATTTTTAAAATGCATAGCTGGGGGCCGGCGCTGTGGCATAGTGGGTAGAGCTGCCACCTGCAGTGCTAGCATCCTATATGAGTGCCGGTTCAAGTCCCAGCTGCTCCTCTTCTGATCCAGCTCTCTGCTATGGCCTGGGAAAGCAGTAGAAGATGGCCCAAGTCCTTGGGCGCCTGCACCTGCATGGGAGACCCGGAAGAAGCTCCTGGCTCCTGGCTTTGGATCAGGGCAGCTCTGGCCATTGCGGCCATCTGAGGAGTGATTTGGTGGATGGAAGACCTCTCTCTCTGTCTCTCCCTCCCACTCTCTGTAACTCTGACTTTCAAATAAATAAAAGCTTAAAAAAAGAATGTATGAAACCAAGAGGAAATTGACAATCATAAATTTGGGTCAAGGTCAGTTTTTAGCTCATTTAAAACCTTATCTTCGACCTAGAATCCCCCACATAACAAACATCCCCCATTACAATGCTTTTTGAGGAAGTCATAAAGCTCCCCGCGCTCCTCTTCAGTCCCTCACCTTCACACCCAATCAGACTTTACGGCTCTTTCACATGGATGGAAACTGCTGCTTCTACCATCTTGGCTGAAGTCCATTCTGTAGGTAGGTAAATTTCAAGAACGACTTCCCTTCTGAAGAGCTCGTCTGCACGCCAGGCGGCCCCACACCAATGGCCCTCAACTGCAAACGCGGCTCAACTTCTCCTTGTCGGGGAGCGAAAATCCACCTGCTTCTCTTCCCCCAGAACTGTGACATGCAAACTCCAAGCCCGGCACTTGCAGCAAGACAGGAGAAGGCGGAGAAGTCTACGGGGTTGAGGGCAGAGCATAAACAATGAGCCCTAAGTGGAAGGGCTTGGGAGGGAGACGGGGGATTCAGAAGAGTCCATACAGAGACTTCATGAAGTCCAAGTTTAATGGGATGAGGGAATTGGAAAAAGAGGAACCCACGGGCACTAAGGGAAATTTGAGAGAGAAGCATGCTCATATTTTGCAAGGTTTGCATCTCACAGTAAGTATGGTTTCAGTGAATATGTTTCCTTTTTTTGACAGGCAGAGTTAGACAGTGAGAGAGAGAGACAGGGAGAAAGGTCTTCCTTCTGTTGGTTCACCCCCCCCCTCCCAAATGGCCTCTACGGCCGGCGTGCTGTGCCAATCCGAAGGCGGGAGCCAGATGCTTCCTCCTGGTCTCCCATGTGGGTGCAGGGCCCAAGCACTTGGGCCATCCTCCACTGCCTTCCGGGCCACAGCAGAGAGCTGGACTGGAAGAGGAGCAACCGGGACAAAATCCGGCGCCCGGACCGGGTCTAGAACCCTATGTGCCGGCGCCACAGGCGGAGGATTAGCCTAGTGAGCTGTGGCACCGGCCCAAATATGTTTCCTATACGGAGGGCTCCAGTGAAAATAAATGCCGACAATGCACTGACTGGGTGAGCAAGAATTGATGGAACATCTTTACCATATTTAGTACAGGAGTAGGCGCTTACTTTTGGTTCAGACAGTATTAAGGTTTAAGTTTTTGGATATGTTTATCAGGCTAATACTGTAATTGAAGAATGATGTGATGCAGCAGGTTAAGCCACCACCTGCAGCACCGGTATCCAATGTGGGTGCTGGTTCAAGTCCGGGCTGCACTGCTTCTGATCCAGTCCCCTGCTAATGCACCTGGGAAAGCAGTGGAAGGTGGCCCAAGAGCTTGGGCCTTCACCCACATGGGAGCCCTGGTGGAGTTCCGAGCTCCTGGCTTTGGCCTGGCCCTGCCCTGGCCATTGTGGCCATCTGGGGAGTGAATCAGCAGATAGAAGGTCTTGCTCTCTCTCTCTATTACTCTTTCAAATTAATCTGAAGCCAGGAGCAAGGAGCTTCTTCTGACTCTCTCATGTGGGTGCAGGGGCTCAAGGAGTTAAGACATCTTCTGCTGCTTTCCCAGACACATTAGCAGGATGTTGGATCAAAAGTGGAGCGGCTGGGACTCGAACTGGCATCCATATAGGATGCTGGTATTGCAGGTAGCAGCTTAACCCACTATGCCACAGTGCCCGCCCTGATAGAAGATCTTTATCTCTCTTTGTCTCCATCTCTCTCTGTAACTCTGCCTTTTGAATACATAAATCTTAAAAAAAAAAATTTAGAATAACATCAGTTTGATCAACTTAGAACAATCGATGTCAAAGATAATTTATTCGGGGTCACGAGGTGTCTGTGTAGGTTACACAGGGCCCAGGCTTGTGTGTAAGTCTCTTAGGTCTCCTCGCCAACCCCACTTCATAGTGTAAGAGCGGCATGCTCCCCAGGGGGCATGAGGGGCCACCATCTCTTCTTTGGTGACACCTGGAAATGCTTCCTGGCCCAGGGATGGAGCAGTTAGGGGACTGGCCCTGGCCAGGGAAGAGTCTCTGTGGCATTAGCAAAGCGTTTGGAGCTAGAATCTTGAGCAATTGTCAAAACAAAACACAGACCTTTTATCATGGTGCAGTACTCCTACCCGCTGGCCTTCCATTTTCCAGTACGCCTTCAAAAATACATAAAATAGACTCTCATAGCTTGTTGGAGGGAAGAAAAAGGAGTAAAATCAATCCAAGAGAAAGAAAAGCAAAGCTTTGCATTCACACTGAGCTACACGCCCCACACACATGCAAACAATTTGAGAGCAATGGCAAGCAGATCAAGTTTGGGGCAGAAAAGCAGCTTTTTGGAATTGCACTCGAGCCTGCCTCCTTCTTCCTTTCAGGGATCTGAGAAACGCCAGGAAGTGAGTGAATCATGCAAGCGCCGAGCAGCCAACCGAAAAGACCCATCCGTGTTTGGCCAAGTGATCTCCAGAAAGGAGAAATGTGGGCCGGCGCCGCGGCTCACTAGGCTAATCCTCCGCCTAGCGGCGCCGGCACACCGGGTTCTAGTCCCGGTTGGGGCGCCGGATTCTGTCCCGGTTGCCCCTCTTCCAGGCCAGCCCTCTGCTGTGGCCAGGGAGTGCAGTGGAGGATGGCCCAGGTGCTTGGGCCCTGCACCCCATGGGAGACCAGGAAAAGCACCTGGCTCCTGGCTCCTGCCATCGGATCAGCAAGGTGCGCCGGCCGCAGCGCGCCGGCCGCGGCGGCCATTGGAGGGTGAACCAACGGCAAAGGAAGACCTTTCTCTCTGTCTCTCTCTCTCACTGTCCACTCTGCCTGTCAAAAAAAAAAAAAAAAAAAAAGAAAGGAGAAATGTGGCTTTCTTGGAAACAATGCTGCCTAAACATCCCAGCTTCCCCCAGCCAGCCTGCCCCACCGGCAGAATGAGCTACCTGTGTTGGAGAGGTGGCTGGACCCCACGTGGTGCAGCCCCAGTCTGTGCCCTACCTCCCAGGGGGCCGCAAGGGAGACTGGGTGTTAGCCTTAGTGTCACAGGCAGTAAGTAGCAGAGACGCCTGTAGTAGAAGGAATCGGGGCTGGTTCTGGTCTGCAAACACACTGGCAAACTGCACTGGCGCTCCAGGGAGATGGGGATTAGATGCAGCAGTTTCTTACAGGATGGCTCCTGGGCGGAGGTGCGCGTCTCGTGCCCTTTCTGTAGCCGTTCTCTGCCTGGGCAGAGGCTGAGTTTGCACAGCGGGAAGGCTCTCTTCCTTCAGGAGCTGCGAAACAAAGACAAGACACCACGAAGCCTCCCCCAACAGAATCTTCCAGGCGGGAGAGAGGTGTGTGCAGGGAGCTCTCTGAGGCAGGGCACCGGGGAAGGAGGGCTCGTGTGGCGAAGCTGACGGCTCAGTGTCTGCTACAGCCGTCCAGTGAGATACTGCCAGGTGCTGGGAAGGCTTGGAAACAGCGTCCCGTTCTACAACCACTGCTAGGCACCTCCTGAGCGCCGGGAACATGCTGGGGTCCCGGGGATGGGGAGGCAAACTGGGCACGAGCCCTTCCCTCGGACGTTTCGCGATGAGTCATCTGAAGACCCTGTGGTGTGGGCTGCAGCTAAGACTGCTGTTCTTGAACTTGTGAGAAAAGAAGATACTGTGGCTGAGGACTTTGAAAACCTTCATAGCAAGAAGTGAGCGGATGATGTAAGTTGGATGCCTTTCTTTTTTTTTTAAATATTTATTTATTTGAAAGGCAGAGTGACAGAGAGACATACAGAGATCGTCCATCGGCTGGTCTACTCCCCACATGGCCACCACAGCTAGAGCTTGGCCAGGCTGAAGCCAGAAGCCAGGAACTCCATCCTGGTCTCCCACGTGGGTGGCAGGGGCCCAAGCACTTGGCCTTCTCTGGGCACATTAGCAGGGAGTTGGATTGGAAGCAGAGCAGCCAGATTCGAACCAGCACTCTGATAGGGGATACTGGCACTGCAGTGGGGGCTTAACCAGCTGTGCCACAACGCTGGCCCTGGGCTGCCTCTAAGCCTGCATGCTGCCTTTCTCTTTGCCAGGGTGGACGCAGGAGTTCAAGGGGCCTTTGGTGTTTCTACAGGCAAGCCACACTGTTGGGGGAGAATGGCACTCCCACTTAGCTTCCTCCTGGTCCCCCGGCTCCCAGGCCCGTCCCTCTCAGGGCCTCTTGCTAACAGGCTTCTGTCTCTCCTTCCTCTGCAGTCTCTACCCCAGCACTTGAGGCAGCCCCCTGCCTCCCATTCTTTCTTCAGCCCACTTAGCTCCCTTCCGGTCGACATCTCTGCGTTCACTCTCTACCCTGAGCACCAGCTTCACGTTTTAGGCTCTTCCCAAATGTGTTCTTCTGTTTGTTAAGATTTATTTATTAATTGAAAGTCAGAGTTAGAGAGAGGGAGACACACACAGAATCTTCCATCCTCTGTTAATTCCCCAAGGGGCTGCAACAGCCAGGGAAGAGCCAGCCTGAAGCCAGCACCCAGGGGCTTCGTCTGGGTCTTCCAAGTGGGTGGCAGGGGAGCAAGCACTGGGCCATCTTTCCCCAGGCCATTAGCAGGGAGTTGGATCAGAAGCGGAGCAGCTGGGACACAAACCGGCACCCTATGGGATGCTGGCTTCTCAGGCAGTGGCTAGACCTGCTCCACCACAATGCCAGCTCCCAGATGTATTCTTAGCATATGCCCTCGGCCTCTTCTCTGGTCTCCAGCCAGACTGGGGCTCTGGACCCTTCAGAGGGCTCTCACTCGTCACAGGGTAAAAACCCCAAGTCCTCACCGTGCCACTGTGCCCACACACGCTGGGCTCTTCCTCTCTGGTCCCCAGTCACTTTCCTTCAAGCGGACCCGGCTCCTTCCCACGGTAGAGCCTCAATTCCTTGGTGGGACAGTTCAGCTCAGCTGGTCACTCAGAGCTCAGCTCAAAGGCTGCTTCCTGCGGGGTCCCTGGGAGCTGTGGCAACTCCTTACGTGGGCTGAGCGTCGTGCATGGGAAAATCCAAAACGTTCTGAGCGCTGTCCTGACTTCACCAGTGGAGAATTCCACGCCTGACCTCACGTGACAGGTCGCAGTCAAAACTCAGGTGCACTAAAAAGAGCGTATGTGGTTACCTTCAGGCTATGCAAATGAAGTATACAGGAAACAGAAATGAATTCTGTGTTGAGACTTGGGCCCCACCCCCCAAGATATATCATTGTGTATAGGAAAAATATTTAACAATCTGAAATCTGAAACACTTCCGGACCCAAACAATACAGAGAAGGGATCCCCAACCTGTGTTCTCTCTGTGTCTTCAGAGAATTCGTGAGACATAACAACCAGAAGGTTTGTTTCCTGTCTGTCTCCCTTGGACTGTTGTGAACACACAGATGATCCCACTACAGCTTACAACTGAGCCAAGACACCCCACAAAGGCATTAACAAATGAGCAAGTCTGGATCCTGGGTGCCAAATGTCTCTTCTACCGTAATATGAATGTTAATTTGCATCTCTGCCAATTATTTCTCATGTCACGGACAGCGACTAACATTGAGGAAGAGGAGACATGCACTTGTTTCTCTGCTCAGCCTGGACTTGGGTAGGGGACACAGTGACAGTGTCATCTGTGGGGAGCTCAGGCTAAGGCGGGCTGAGCAGCAGGGAGCCCGGTGGCTCTTTTGCATCTTCAGTTGCTTGAACGTTGTTCCTTTTCCTTCGTTCCCATACCTTCTGTCCAATTCTGTTGCATCGTGGCCAGAGCCGTGCTGTGAAGAACTGGGAGAGGAGGCATGGGTGCCCCCAGCTGAGGTGAGGGTGGTGGGGAGACATGCATAGTGCAGCAACTCACAGTCAAGGGAGTGGTGGTCAGGGACTCCATCAGTGGCTATCTGAAAGGACAAGTGTCCAGACAGGGCGAGGTCTGCAGAAATATTGGGGTTCACAGGGGAGACCCAGAAGAAGCTCCTGGCTTCAGATCAGTGCAGCTCCGGCCATTGTGGCCAATTGGAGAGTGAACCATTGGATGGAAGAACTCTCTCTCTCTCTCCCTCCCCCCTCCCTTTCTCTGTGTAACTATTTTAAATAAATCTTTAAAAAAATGTTGGGGTTCATCTGGAGTGTGCAGGAAGCCCTGGGAGGGGTCACTGGGCAATGCCTGGGCTTTCTATGGCGTGCTGGTTATCAACCTGTTGCCTCTCAGGTCCAAGTTCACCCTTTTGGCTTCCCTGTAAGAATGAACCTGGGCCCTGCCCACCGGCTTACTGGTGAGCTTTGCAAGCAGCCAGCAACAGAGAGGCCTTGCCTGAGGACAGAGTTTTGCTTCCTGGTTGCCTGCTCCTGCAGGGGGTGCAGTTTCTCCAGGACCCTCCCCCAGGACCCCGCCCTCGCAGGGGTGCCTCCTTGTGAATGGCTTTCCCCATACCTAAGAGTAGATTTCCAGGGGCGCATCACCATCTGACTTATCGGTCATTTACTGTGCTATGGCTGTGCCCTCCCTAACAGGCTGGGTCTCGGCCCCCTGGGGTTGGAGTGGGGGCTGGAAGGAAGAAGCTAACCCATGGGTGCCCCATCTCAGCCCTGAGGGTAGCGGCTGCTGCTTAGATCCTTATACCTGCTACTCCCTTTATTTGTGAATTCTCTTTACCTCTTATTAGTTAATCCCTTGTTACTCAAAGTCCTGTTACAGTGAATACATCCATAAAGCTTGCACCACTTCAGTTGTTAGACTCTCTTGATCCACTCGAGGTGCAGGATTAGACTCTGGTGACTTGGCCATCCAGGGAAGGTGAGTCTATAAGGCTGGGGGATATGGAGCCATCTTGGTTTATGTACCCAACATTTTTTAAAGTTTGTGATAGTCACCCTTGGTATCCAAAGGAGACTGGTCCCAGGAGCTCCTGCAGATCAGATATGAAAACGTTTTAGATACCTTGCATCTAAGCTACACTGTCTTCCTGTTCACTTTAGGTCACCTCTGGATTTCGTAAATACCCAGCGTAAACGCGATGTAAGGAGCTGTTAGAGTGCGTTGTTTAGGAATAATGACAAGAAAAAGTCACTCTGTGTTCAGTACAGACACACTTCTTTTTCCAGTATTTTCATCTTACAGGTGGTTGAATCTCTGGACGCAGAACCAGTGGATAGTGGGAGCCCACTGTATTTATTTTTTTAAAAATTTATTTATTTGAAAGAGTTACAGAGAGAGAGGAGAGGCAGAGAGAGAGAGAGGTCTTCCGTCCGCTGGTTCTCTCCCCAGATGGCTGCAACGGCCGGAGCTACACTGGATCCGAAGCCAGGAGCCAGGAGCTTCTTCCAGGTCTCCCACGTGGGAGACCTACTACTGCTTTCTCAGACCATAGCAGAGTGCTGGATCAGAAGTGGAGCAGCGGGGACTCGAACCGATGTCCCTATGGGATGCTGACACTGCAGGCCGCAGCTTTACCCGCTATGCCACAGCACTGCCCCCCCCCCCCCCCCCACTGAATTCACTTTTACAGCCAGAAAAAAAAATTTTTTTAAAAAACGGTGTGGAAAATGCAATACACTAAGCAGGAAAAATAAACACAAAACTCAGGGAGGGAAGTTTGCGGCAGAAGCAAGTAAGAGGCCGAGGCGGGGAGCTCCCAGGCGGAGTCGATGATTAAACAACGGAGTCTGGAGTCGGGGGAGTGCAGCGGCCCGGCCTTCCCCAGGCGGGGCCCCAGGTGTAGACGCTGAGACGGGCCGGGCACCAGAGGTTCCACGCGCACAGAGCCCGTGGGGCTGGAGGGCGGAGGGTGTGCCGTGGGAAAGCTTGCTCTGGTCTTGCAGACCCGCCGTGCGCCAGCGCTCCGCAGTCCGGCGCGCGTGGCTCCTACGGCCACACTTCCCGATGGGCGGCTGCCGGATCCCGGGCCCCCTAACTGGTTGTGCCTGTACCGGGCATCTCGGACCGCGTCGGGCTGGGGCCAGCTTTGCCCAGGGGCCGGCTCTCTCCGTGCCTTCGGCGCCACGACCAAGGAAAATCCAGCACGCACCTCCCCTTCCCTCTCCTCCGGGCTGGGGCAGCCCGCGCGCCTGCCTCGCCCCGTCCCCAGCCTCGCCGCCTCCAGGGGCCCCCGGTGCAGCGCGCGACACCTCCGTCGGGGAAGCCCCAGCGCTCCAGGGCGCCCCCGGCCTACAGCCCTCCCCGGGACACCGGCCCCTGCCCGCTGCAGGTCAGGGCTCCCGGCGGACGTCGCCTCTCCCGTAGGCACGGGGCAGCGGGTGCACACGCTCGTGTCCGGCCGGCTCCGAGCAGAGCTGCTCTCGGCAGCCGTCCCGGGGAAGGCGCCGGGGGAGCCGGCGGGGACCGCGGCCCCGGGCGGGGGGCGGGCCGGGGGCGGGGCCGGGGCGGGCCCGGCGGCCGCGAGGAAGGTGCGGCGGCGCGCGGGCGGGGGCAGCCGTGGCCGCCGCAGACTCCCCGCGCGCGCGCCCCGGCGGAGAACAAAAAGTGACCGCAGAAACTTCTCCAAGTCCGCGCGCAGGAGCGCCCGCGCTCGACCGAGGTAAGGGCGCGGCGGGGCGCGGGCTCCGGGGGTCCCGGCGGCGCGGGCGGCTGCGGGTCCCGGGCCCCCTAAGCCCTCCTGCCCCCGATCGTCGCTGTCCTCGCGCGGCTCGGGCACCTTCTCCCGTGAGCGTGGCAGCGCCCGGGACACTTTCCGTGTGTCCCGCGCAGCGGCCGG